TCCTCCGCGTAGTTGCCAGTCAACACTGACTGGCGGATGGAACTCGGAGGAGGCCTAATCTGTGTGATCTAACAGGTCGTAGGGAGGTAATTGGCAGGAGGCGGTCTCTCAAGTACGGTCACATGGGCGGCAAGCCACTCCCACAAAGGAGGCCACACCCACAGAGTAGGTTCGAACAGTTTTTGAAACCCACCACTGTGCTGGGGCCACAGCGGAGAAGGCTCTTCACCTTAATCCCGCTGGTCAGAATGATCAGGGTCTGCAGTGGATCCCTTCTGGGGGAACAAGTGAGGCAAGCTAGTGCTAAGTTTTTCATTTGTTGAGCCAGAGTAAAATCACCAGGCAAACTAACAGGCCAATCAACCCCAGAATGATCGGATCTCATTGGCAAATGTTCTTCTTTATTAACAACCTTGCCTTTGTAGCTGGGGCGTAATATAAGGCCAAGATCGGTCGTCTTCCCCCTTTCAAAAGGTTCCCATTATCAGGCGGGTTTATATTTTATTCATTGAGCTTTAAGGGTAGTAGCCTTATTCATTCTCATTCATGTTACCGGGGATGCTGGCGTCATTAACTTTTTATTGGGATTGCCCACCTCCTGGAAGGAGTTTGAGCGCGGCTTTTCCAGCTCTGTGTGAGCCTTTCTGCAAAAAGTCTCCAAAGCAAAATGCAAGAGAGAGGAGGGGGAGAGAGGGAGGGAGGGAGAGGGAGGAGAGAGGATAAAGACAGAGGGAGAGAGAGAGAAAGAGGGGGGAAACAGAGAGAATGATAGAAAGAGAGAGAGAAGAGAGAGAGAAAGGGGGATAGGGAGAGAAAGAGAGAGACAGAGGGAGAAAAAACAAAGAGAGAGAGAAAGAGGGGGAAGGAGAAGGAAGGAGAGCAGAAAAACACAGAGAGAGAGAGGGGAAGGAAGGAAAAACAGAGAAAAATAGAGAGAAAGAGAGAGGGATAATAAACAAAGACAGAAAAGTAGAGAGAAAGAGAGAGGGAGGGGAGAAAAAATAGAGAGAAAAATTGACAGAAAGAGAGCGAGTGAGCAGAAAGACAGAGAGAGGGGGAAACAGAAAGAGAGAGAAAAATAGAGAGAAAGAGAAAGTGGGAGAGGGAGAGAGAGAGAAGGAAAGAGAGAAAGAGAAAAAGGGAAAAGAGAGAGAGAAAGAGGGGAGAGAGAAGGAGGGAGAGCAGAAAGACAAACACAGAGAGGAAGGAAGAAAAAAACAGAGAAAAATAGAGAGAAAGAGAGAGGGGGGATAATAAACAAAGACAGAAAAGTAGAGAGAAAGAGAGAGAGCAGAAAGACAGAGAGAGGAGGAAACAGAAAGAGAGAGAAAAATAGAGAGAAAGAGAAAGGGGGAGAGGGAGAGGGAGAGAGAAGGAAAGAGAGAAAGAGAAAAAGAGAGAAAGAGGAAGAGCGAAAGAGGGAGAAAAAACCAAGACAGAAAAATTGAGAGAAAGAGAGATGAGAGAAAGAGGAAAGAGGAAGAGAGTGAGAAAGAAACAGAGGGAGGGAGGGAAAAACAGAAAGAGAGAAAAAAGAGAGAGAGAGAGAAAGGGAGAAACCAGAAAGAGAGAAAAATAGAGAGAAAGGGGAGAGGGAGAGAGGGGGGATAGGCATTAGGATTTCTTTTAAGTAGCTAAGAGGCTGCCCAGTTCCCAGAAATTCTCACTACGTGAGTTTTGGATAATAAACCACCACCTGGTGCTTCCTGCTAGTACAGCTACACCTGGGCAGGTGGAGACATGTAAGATCTTCAGGGTAGAGAGAAGGGAGGCAGGGAAAGCCCATTGTCCCCCCACCAGAGGATCGAACTTGGCTGCAGCGATTTCCCCCATCCATCATTCCTCACGGGCCATTTAACTTAAACGGGGCAGGCGGGGGTGGTGGTGTTCGTGATCAGGTGTGGCAGACGGGAACTTTGCGCCAGGCTGCACCTCCTGAACGCAGCTCTCTGAACGCTACCACCTGCCAACTGTTGGATAACACCGTGGCGAATAAGAGTTCTCAACACTGGCCAAGAGTGCCCAGGAGTTGGCAGAAGACGAGGGGAACTTCAAATTAATTAGGGGGATGGGGAGGTACTCTTAGGCTGGTCTCCACCTGTATCCATCTTCTCTTAACAGAGGCACTTCCTGCTGATGCACTTGCCCTCTTTCACCAAATTTTGGAGTCAGAAAAGAGAGAGGGGCTTTTGGGGGGTTCCACCTTGAAGCACCCAGATGTCTAAGTAATCGAAGGGGAAGCTTAAGAATCATAGAATCACAGGGTTGGAAGGGACCTTGGAGGTCTTCTAGTCAACCTCCTGCCCAAGGCAGGAAGTCCTTATACCATTGATGAAGATCAAAGCCAAAGTTCTCCATCAAGCTATTCTCCAAAGCACCTGAGGGCAGGACAAGAAGTGGAAACTAATCAAGGAGAGAAGCAACTTAGAACTATTAGGACAATTGATCAGTGGAACAACTTGCCTCCAGAAGATGTGAATGCCCCAACACAGGAGGTTTTTAAGAAGATGTGGAGACTTTAGAAAGAATGCAGAGAAGAACAACAAAGAGGATTAGGGGACTGGAGGCTAAAACAAAGGAAGAACGGTTGCAGGAATTGATATATGTCTAGTTTAATGAAAAGAAGGACTAGAGGAGACATGATAGCAGTCTTCCAATATCTCAGGGGTTGCCCCAAAGAGAGCACCTT